CACTTTTGCACATGTTGCATTTGAGGTGCTGATAAAACATCTAATCCACAAGAGTGACTGGGAATACAGAACAGATAGAGGTGAAGATTTTAGGATTTGGATTTAACAGTAATTTACCCAGAGAATCTTGGAATACTATGGACCAAAAGTCATGTAGAAATCATCTAACTCAAGTCTCTACTACAATCATGTAAGAAAATCAATACTCAAAGAAATTAAACACATCCATGAAATGTAGTAGAAGCAGAATTGGAACACACACCTTTTAAAATGTTCTTCCTACTATATATTTCTAACACTCTCTGATAAATGAAAGTAAAGCTTTGGGAAACAACCACACTTTGGAGAACAAAGGAAAGCAGGCTGAGATGGATCAAAATTGTAAGAGGAACAAAGAAATCCAAGGGAGGAAAATTTCAAGAAGGGAGCAGTCAACAGCGTACTCTGTGACAAAAAGATCGAGTTGAATGGGAATTGAGAAAAAGCCACTTCATTTTGCAATGCAGTTATTAGTTACTTGGCAACAGAATGTTCTTGTTAATAGTACCTACTACGCCAGAGTTCTCTGAAGTGCTGTCCTTGGAGTCCTTGCAATGGGAACACCTCAGACATATGATCTGCATATAATGAGGTTCTCTTATTATTTCAGTAATTAAATTACTCTGAACAGCATCCAAGAAGAATCAGCTTCATACGAATTTCAAATCTATAGTGACTCATGTTAGAACAGCGTTCCAGTTTTCTCACATTCTCATCTGACATATTTTATCAAAGTTCTTAAAGACTAGTCATACTTTTAAAATTTGTAGATTTTATTTCCTTCCTCTGAATCCAGATGTATATAATCCTAGGAATTTCTAACTGTCCAGTAGCTCACTAATTACTGCATAAAGTTTTTCAAAATAATATAATTATGTTGTACCGTATAATGAGACATGCAAACATAGAAAATTGAAAATGTAAATGTCCATTTTAAAAATTCAATGGGTGATGTATTTTTAGGCAGTTTTTGACACATTTATTCCCAGTTCTTTACCTCCCGTTGTAAGAAAATAAGTGGCACTAAGACTATCAGCATAATGAATATCACATTATAATACAGAGAATCATGCAGCAGGATTTGTCTAAATGTAGAAATTTTCAGTAACAGCCATCTGGCAAGTAGCAACATTGAAAATGTATGGGGGATGTGCTTTTTACATCATCTGTGTATCAGATGATCTACAATCTTTAAAAAAATAGACATTTTATTAGTTGAAAGAAAACAGTTTTAACATTTTCAAACTGAATTTTGAATTCTGTCTTAATTCAAAGTTACAAATTCAATCTGATAGGAAGAAAAGGAACATGAAAATACATTTCATCTGAGTTTAACAGACACGGTATTATAACGTTTAAATGCTTCACCTTATCAAAGCTACATACACACTCAAGTATCATATCATTACATAATCCACAGATGTTTAAATGGCATATGCACAGAGATTTAAACTTTATCTAAAAACAGATTAAGATTAGAAACTGAATCTGGTACTTGAGACTACTGTCGCTAGCTATAGTAATAGCTGTTATAAGAACAATTCAGCTACCTCCCCCTTTCAAGTCCTCCCCTTAAAACTCCTCTCTCCTGCTTCCTTTTGTCACTATCCACTTGATCTTTTCCTTCCTTCTCTTCTATGCAAAGGCTTAAGCCTACTAGTGACACTCAAACCTAATGAAGCTTCTGATCCCTATTAATGAGGATAAAAATAGATCTTATATAACCTTGAGGATGCAATAAATTTCAAAACACATCTTATATGTTAGTTTAATATGGCTATTAGAAAATTCTTAGAAAGTTTTTCACTAATGCTCTCTGCTTCCTTTTGTATGTACAAGTTCAAGCCGGTTTGAGTCCTCTGTGTACTGGGTTCATATCACACTAGAACTCAAGTCAAGTGGCAGTAAACTAGAGATTCAGTTATAGATTATTCCACTGGCAAAGTTCAGCCATATCTGCTCAGAAATGACAATCAGTTAAGGGGTCTATAGTGAGAAGACCACCATCCGAATGTAATTAATTCTGTGAAAAGGACCCCGTCCATCTATTCCAAATCTGTCCCCCTTCAAAACCGAGCTCAAATGGCACCTCTACCATGAAGCCTGACCCGCCCTCTCCCACTTAGCCTGATCTCCACTGCTTCAAAACTTTTGTAAGTTATTGTCACCATCCATTTTAGTCCTTAATTGTTTTCATCTTATATTGTAATTTAAATGTGTCATACTTCTGATTTGTTTTAAGGTGGATTTAAGCTCCTTAAAAGTAGGGCCTGTGTCTTTAAAATGTCTGTAGCCTCTGTTATACCTGGCACAAGTGAACACTGAATGAATATGGTCAATAGTGGAAAAAATGAATTAGGCACCAAAAACTGAAGTACCTACAGCTCTGGTGCATAATTGCCCTTTTCACCTACACTGCTTTTACTTCTCCCACCAGCTTAAATTGCTTCTGATTTTTTAATCTCTCTAATTCTTGCCAGTTGTTAGCTCCTTAGGTGATCCTTAAAAAAACAAAAACAAAAACAAAAAACCCACTATCCAAATTGCAGAGGATGAGGAATATCAAAACATCATTTGTTTTGGCTTGCAACTGAAGGCCAAGAGGAGAGCTACAATAGCTCTTTCTTAAAGGAATGCTCGGTTATTTAATGTGTAAGACAGGATTCAGCAAGAGGAAGAGCTTAAGGATATCTTCCGAAGCAAAAAAGATCATCCAAAAGAGGCCCAAATCACAATGCTGCAGATAGTTATTTAGCTTTTGGTACCTCTGATTTAGACAAACGATTGTGTTTGGCTTCTTTCTTTTCCTTTTTAAGCCACCACATATTGATTTTACTTCTGTGTCTATTTCTTTTTTATGGGTTATTTTACCTACTCTAATATTGTATCTATCTCTTTATTATTTGAAATGGAGAACAGAAAGTGAGTTAAGGAAATTTTTCTAAGGAGATATCTTGCCATGCAAAAGCAAACGTTGTCCTCTACTTAGCTCCTTGTTTGATATCAGGAATGAGATTTCCCCATTCTTACACCATTATTTCCCTTGCTTCTAAAATCAGCCTATCACAATAGGCTGAAAGCGCTCATCTGCTCTCAATCATTGTTCCTGGAAATTCATCTAAGCAGCAAGATGAATCTGCTACCTGCTCCAAGGGGCATGATAGTCAGCTCAAGATGACAGAAGGAGCATACTGCTCTTGCACAAAATAGTAAAATAAATAAATAAAACATAGCAAACCAAAATGTATAGTATCCAATATATACACTAATTCACATTGTTCAAGTTTCTCAAGCAATTTGTATTATGCAGAAAGAAGGAAATATATTAGTATCAGATAATCCTTTGGATATCATTTTAAAGAACAAAAAATCCAGGGGACCTGAACACCCGCATAAAATTCCTTTGCAGAGGCATTTTAACACCATAATGAAGTGATCATAACAAACTTAGTATCCTAGAATGTCTTTAAATTGCATAGTATATTCCTAGCCACCAATTTCTAGCAAATGTTACCTCATTGGTTTTTTTCTCTTTTTTTTTTTTAAAGATGGGGTTTCACCATGATGGCCAGGCTGGTCTTGAACTCCTGACCTCAGTTGATCCACCCACCTCGGCCTCCCAAAGTGCTAGGATTACAGGCGTGAGCCACCGCGCCCGGTCACCTCATTGTTAATCATGGGTTTTTTAATACAATATCAACCTTTGAAGAGAAGAAGGAAGGGTCAAAAATTCCACTCCTACTGCCAATCACTTTGATGATCTTTATCCAAAGTAAGGTAGTGTATATAGTCTAACTCTTCCTGTGAAATCTAAACCATATTCTGGTAACTCAACTACGACTGCCCCATTAACTTCAATAAAAACATCAAAAATGCTTAACCTTTAACAGGCACCTTATCTTTATCAGAGAATTTAAGGAGGTATTTATTCTCAGAGTAGTGACTTTGCACCCGCATAAACCTGAGAGTGAGTGCTTCCCTCAACTTTGTGCTCCAAGTGCCTCACTCACCTCACTCTAGTCCTGACTGTGCTCTGTATCTCTGTACCCACTCTGTCCCCATAGGTAGGGAGCTAGTTAAAAAAAAAAAAAAAAAAAAAAAAAAAAACTTGGAAGCATCATGCTAGTAGTCCATTGGTATTTTGTATAAGATGCTAAGAAGAAATCGGTTTACCAATTGGCTTCAAGACAGACCAAGGCTTTATGACACAATGGTAAATGATCATTAAAGAACAATGGCAGATGACTCAATGGAAACAAACACTTCTAGGAACTGTTCTGAGCTGCAGTTAACAGCCACCCCCCACTGCACACACACCAAGCTTGCTAATTTATTTTCTCTTCTAATTGTGGGTTTGTTTGATGAGGGAATGTATAGATACTATGCATGAAGAAAATCTATGAAAAATAAAATAATATGCATTTATTTTTTTTTAATCTTTTATTTTTGAGACAGAGTTTTGCTCTTATTGCTGAGGCTGGAGTGTAATTGCGCGATCTTGGCTCACTGCAATCTCCGCCTCCCAGGTTCAAGCAATTCTCCTGCCTAAGTCTCCCAAGTAGCTGGGATTACAGGTGTGCACCACCATACCTGGCTATTTTTGTATTTTTAGTAGAGACGGGGTTTCACCATGTTGGCCAGGATAGTCTCGAACTCCTGACCTCAAGTGATCTGCCTGCCTCGGCCTCCCAAAGTGCTGGGATTACAGGCATGAGCCATCGCACCCAGCTGATAACATGCATTTTAAAAACATATTATGGCCACCGCACCCAGCTGATAACATGCATTTTAAAAACATATTATGGCAACTCTAGTTTTAGGTTTTTCCCAAGCTACCATAGTTTCAACATAAAGAACCCAAACATAATCCCTATCTTTCTGAAATATATTAATAAATATGTCTATACACAAATACTCATGTTTACTTAGCAACCAGCAAATAAAAGTTTATGTTTGCTTACCTCCTCCAGCAAAGAGAGCAGCAATAAAAGGACAGATATCCCAGGCTCACGAGGCTGACTACACCAACCCCACACATTCGCATCATCTGTTTAGGCTCTGTTGGTTTAATTACATCCTGTTACTTTTATGACTTAAGCAAGAGAAGTAAATCCAAGCTCTTTCATAAATTCTTTATTTAAAAAACCTATCAGTTAATAAAGTAAAATGAGGAAGTATTCTTATACGACAGGTGAATATCCTTGCTACTTTATAAGGAACAGGAGTTCATGAAATGTTCTTGAAATACAACTGAAAGCTACACTTTCAATATGTATCCCTTAATGAAGCCTTAACACAATGATCCTACTCTTTTTGTACAATCATTGATTATTATGATGCATACTACATATTTCTTCCTCTGGCCCTAAATAGGCTTTTTCCCTTGGCCATATGTTGTACATCCTAGAGCACTTGGGGAGCACATTAATCTGTGAACCGTTAACTTGGTAAATAAATAGCTTCTTGGTAAATGAATAGCTTCTTAGTACTTGGATGGGAGACTGCCTGGGAATACCAGGTGCTGTAGGTTTACTTCCAAATTACAAAACATTAAACAAGGAATCAAGAATTCACAGGTGAAATAAGCATATTTTAGTGTTACATTCATTGCAAAATGCATTCTAATGTGATTGGGGAATTGTAAGTCACGGTTAAATTTTTTCCTCTTCAAGAACCAAATGTTGCTTCATACATAATATGAAGACTAAACTGATAAATGAAGTATAAACAACATGTGACAGTGTTAAAATTGTAAAATTATATTCATGATCAGGTTTTAGTTTTCAGTATTAATACTACATGTTCAACAAAAAGCTGCAAATTGAATAGGGACTATATTTACTTAAGATATTATTTAGCATGCATCCTTTTTGTAGTATTTGTTAGTGTTTCATCATATTAAATCCATGTAGCATAAGAGCAACTGGAAATACATCCCCACTATCCAAATGAAGGTAGCAACAACAGATGGTTCAGTTCTCAAAACTTTGTAAAGAAAAAAAATATTCAGAACCTAATTTAAAAACTATAGAACAAGACTTGGTATGGTGGCTCACACCTATAAATTCCAGCACTTTGGGAGGCCGAGGCAGGAGAATTTCTGGAGCCCGAAAGTTTGAGACCACCCTGGGAAGCCTAGGGAAACCCTGTCTCTGTAAAAAATTTAAAAATTAGTCAGGCATGCTGGCACACAACTGTAGTCCCAACTACTCAGGGATCTTGAGCCCTGGAGGTCAAGGTTGCAGTGAGCTGTGATCACATCACCATTGCACTCCAGCTTGGGTGACAGAGTGAGGCACTGCCTCAAAAATTACCCAATAAAACAAAGAAAAACTAATAAGCAGGCCTTAACAAGAAACATTCAACTCTACTGCACACTGAGATGTTAAAGACAAGACAAATGGGAAGAATTCTACCCAGAAAGAAAAGCTGGGCAAGAAAAAGTAAGCTAAGGCATGACCAACTGGTATCTTCTCTCAGCCATTGAGCATACCATAGAGCCTGGAACCTTTAGGATAAAACACAGAGAGTGACTAAAGCAAAAGAAAAGGTGAGACTAATTTTGAATTACCAAAGTCACCATCTAAAGGCTCAGCAGAAACTGCTACTGAATAGAGTCGTGACCACCTCAGGACTGTGTAAGGAGCATTGATCTAGGGCTGGGANATTGATTAATCAGATGTCCACAAAAATATAATATACTTGTATAATATGGAGCTACTTGTAATAGCAAAAAATAAAATTACTAGATGCCCAACTCTCGGGAATTGGCTTAATAAATTATATATATGTATAATATTAGGAAGAATATTTTCAAAGACTTTTTAATGGACTAGGACAATTTATCTGATATAAGTGACTAAAAAGGTAGACTACACATTATATATAAGATTTAATTCTACTTAAAATGTACCTATGCATGTGTATTATATATGTAGATTACATGTGCATTACCAAAAATAATAGTAACTATCTCTGAGTGGTGTGATTATGAATAATTTATTTTATAATTTTTGAACATTTTCTAAATTTTCTATAGGAACAATAAAAATTATTTGTTCCTTTGTACATACTGTAGTTGTCTTATTCTTACTAACAGAGAAGCAGTGATGCTATTGCTTTCCTTTGTAGAAAATCAATCCCATCTTCTAGGATATCTTCACCTTTGTTGCTATCACCCCATTTGATCAGTGATTTATTCTTGGTACTCTAGAATCTTGCCCAAATGCCAAATTAAGTATTAAGCTGGGAAATCCAAATGTGAACTTATGCCATTGTGATCTGTTTATTTAATTTAAAATAATAGAAATAAATGAAAGAGAATGAACTTACCATCTCTTAATGGAGCAAAACATTTGAATCTACCAGTCCCAGATGATGAAAAACAGCATTTCTGTCTCAAACATTCACTCTCATTAAGCTCTTGCAGCTCATTACAAGCTTTTACCACCTGATTTTCCCTGACAATGCAAGCTTTTAGAAAAAAAAAATTTAAGAAAGAGAATTCAGCATGGTTAATTAGCATTTTTCCTAATTAAATAATTACTGCAAGACAAGAAAACATTCAATGGCATATACAACTAGTGATGAGTGCTAAAAGAAAATAAGAATTAAGCTAAAAGTTACCACTACGTTATTTAACACCACATTTTCAAATCTAGAAAAACTGCAGAAAAATACAAGTTGTTAACAAATCATTAGTAAGGTAGTTTTAAAGGACAATAAATCACGAGCTGAGTGGTGGAGATACAAATATAACACAGAAGAAACTAAATAATGGCAGGTCAATGCCTTTAAAACATCCCTTGTTAAAATGATCCCACATGTATCCTCTGGTTTAACATTACTAAGCTACAGAAAGTCATTGAATGCATCAATGAGAATGAATGTAAGTAAAAATTAAATAGTTTGCTGCTAGTGACTAAAGTAAGTGATATACACTGGTATTGACCTACTTTTTGTGAACACTTATCATATTGGCACTACAATATATTTTAAGATTCTTTGTTTCAGCCTTAAGTTATGACTCTATAATTTTGAATAGGCAATGATTTATGGCATGAACACCAAGATTCATGCAACTTAATAAATTTGTACATACCTGAATCTAAAAGACTTGCAAGCTCAAATAGCTTATTTTCTAAAATATCCTGCTTTATAAGAGAAACAAAAAAAACTAAAAAGCATGATATCAGATTTTTATTCAAAAATCAAAACCTCCACAGTATGTCAATGCGTTAAGGCCAGAATAGATTCTGTTCAATCTCATACTATCAACAATTACAAACTTAAAAACAGTAACTGATGTTTTATAAGCACTCTAAAGGACTTCAACATCAGCAAAGAATAATGTAATTGTTTTATGCAAATTTTAACCTCTTACTATATTTTATTACATTCCCCTTTTTGAAAGATTGGCAATTCCTGAAGCCAAGGTAAAAGTAATAATGTCTACCATTCTTTAGGCACCGGGGCCAGGAACATTGCTTTACACTCTTTATTACTAATCTTAGCAACAAAACTCCCAAACTGAGTTTATAACCTCTGTTTTAAAAATAAGAAAATAAAGGATCAAAGTAACTTATGCAAGATCACAAATTTAATGCACTACCAAGTGACCTAGGTACTCATTTTCCAAACATTTTAGACATGAGAGTTTATCCTCCTTGTTACATATTCTAAGTAATCTGCTCTTCAATTCTGCTAGGACCTGAGTGACTCTTCTCCCCTAGGTTGGATTGCATCTAGTGTTCAGTTCTGGGTGTCAAACACCCAGAAAACGGTGACAATAGTCAGGACTACTCAGACATGGGATGGACTTCCTTGCATGCTGAGTTTCTCGCCATGTGTACTGTTCAAACACCACTTTCCAGAAATGCTAAACAGAGGGTTAGGGTTAGGGTTAAATCATAGAAGAGGCTAGACTATATGATCTCTAAGAACATGTTAATTTATACTTTAAGTGCATCTGATGGACTTTATGCTAGATATTAAAATTAACTTTCAGGCTCAAATTATTAATAGATGTTGCTAATTTTAAAGAATCAAAAGGGTAGAATAATTGTTTTTGGTCAGGCTTAAGTATATAATTTAGTCCAAAGGGAGAAAGATCAGGTGATCTCTCAAGCTTCCCTGCCAGTGTGTCTCCAGGTTATCATTTTAACATGCAAGAGATAAATATTTTACAGATAATAGCCTAATGACAAAACAACGAACTTTTTTTTTTCATGCTTAAGTGGTAAGAGTGTTTATTTTCAATTATGTGGGGGAGAAATAAATTGGTTAAAATATTTCATGTTTTATGAAGCTGTAATTATTCTCTCCAAAGAAGACAGTATGCACATTTCATAAATATTTAATCATTGTTTGAATCAACCTAGGTCAGATGTTTCTCTTAAAATGCAACAATTTTATTTTGTTGGACAAAATTGTTACTTCATATAATCAATTTTTATTTATTGCACCAGGTTGAAGAAATATTTGGGAAATGCAGATATCTTACCTGGACAAGTCTTAAAGGTGGTTTCAGTGTCTGTACAATGTAGTTATTATGGGTAAGTATGTGACTATTTACATCTGTTATTTTCATAAGCTCTAAAGCTAAAATCATCATTAGTTGTTGTTTATGACTAACTTTGACACTCAAACCATTCTTTCAGCCTATACAACATAACACTTTCTCAGATTTCTTTTCTATTTACTCAATTTGACTATGGCAGTATTTTGAGTTTATTTAAGGAACTTGTTTATTTTGCTATTCTCATTGCTAGATGCCTATTTTAAACTTAATGAAACAAGTATAAAGGAACAAAGAGATTGATTCAAGGTCACTAAAGGATTCAGTGGTAAGGCCTGGAATTGAAGAATAGATCTAATTTTGTGCTTATAGAGTATACAAAATTCTGTTAGAATAAATTTTGCATGATTTTTCATAAGAGCTTTTTCTTTGTAATTCACATATGCCAATTTATATGAAGCTTCTCCTTGAAAGGGCACCACATGCCATACAAAATGTAACGTGTTTATCTGTGGTTAATAATTCTCAGGGGTCATCATGTGCTTGATAAACACATTATACACAGAATCACAAAAAGATGGTGGGACTTGAAACCTGGGCTTACTATCATTAAAACAGATGGGAAAACATCTGGCATATTCCATAACATCAGTCACATAGTACCCTCACTAATGCCACAGAAAACATCAATTTCACAATACTGGGTCAGTGACTAAATTTCAGGTAATGCCGTTCAGGTAAATTGTGAAAGATTTATATATTTGTGAAGGAAAAGTATTTTATAAACAGTAACAAACATTTATGAAATGCCTTATGAATATTATTGCAGTTCGTCCTCATAATTATTTGTAGTAAATATCATCATTTCAAAGATGAGAGCACAGATGTTCAGAGAGATTGTCTTGCCTAAGCCAAAGGGAAGAGCCAGGATTCAAACTCAGCTCTGTCCCACTCCAATGCTAATACGCCACAGTGCTTACTAAACATTTACTGTTTTCTAAGCAAGAACATTAGAAGGGGGAAAAAATCAAACAAGAACTTACTTGTTGGAAAGAAAAAATTCAGCAGAGCTTCCAATGCGAAATCTTTTCCCAGAGATTGGCCACTAGCATCTTCACTGTTTTTCTGGCTCCATCCAATTTGAGGCACATTTGGAAATTCTTAAGAAGTAAAATGATTCATCTCAACATATAAAGCATTAATCACTTTCAACAACCCTTTAATAGTAATTACTTTTGCTTAAATTAATTCTAGAAAATCACATAGCTAATAGATATACTTTTATAACAGCTTAGGCATTACTAATAATCAGAATGCAATTTTGTTGTGAAACTCAAAAGTGTTAAATTTACAAATGCTTAAGCTATAGGCTGACACATCCTATTGTTGGGCTGTAAGCTGATTTACAACAGTAAACTTGCCTCTGAATAATGGCATTGACATTAAGAGGTCTAATCAATTGATGAACTGAAAACAGTATGTATTCTAACTAAAGCAGATCCCATCATAGAAACTCTTGGAAAATATGTTAGCTTACATATACATTGATAAAAATCAAGGCCTTAGACACAGTAGAACCTTCCTTATCCTTCTTTCTTGCTATTTTAAAGAACTGGTTTTTAGCCTTATTTACACAATTCCCTCCTATGTAAGAGGATAACACAGATTTGTCCATATCATTAAATATTTCCCAAAATTATCTTTAATAATGTCACGGAATTCTATTATATGGCTCTCTTACAGTTGAGTTAGCAATTTCCCCATAGGACATTTAGGTTGTTTACAATTTATTGATGTTATAAAGAATACTGCAATGATTATCATTACATTATCATTAGCTTGCAATGGTTATGATTGAAGTTTTATATATTTGTAAATATTCATGAGAAATTACTTAAGATAAATTCTTAAGGCATGGTTCTTGATTATGTCCAAATTACCCTCCAGCATGGCTACCCCAAAATATACTTCTACCAGTAGTAGAGGCAAGTGCCAGTTTTCTGACACCTCTCCATTCTTTGTTATTATTTGACAATTTGATGGCCAAAATAAAACAAAATATCTTTTGTTATAATTTGCAGCTTTCATAATCAGTGAGCTTACATCTTTCATATTATGTCGCATAATAGAAAACTCTTAATCTGCCACATATTTCAAGTATTTTTTTCAATGTAATTGGTTAACCTTACATTTTTTATGGTGTTTGGTGAAGCTCAGAAGCTTAAAATTTTATATGTAATTAAATCTATCAATCTCTTCCTTTATTATTCTTACCTCTAGAAAGGCATTCTATACTCTAATACATCCTTCTAACATTTTCGTGGTTGTACTTTTTACATTTAAATATTTAATACACCTGGAGTATATTTTGGAGTGCATTATGGAGTAGGGATACATTTTTTCCAGCAGTCCTAAGGCCCTTATTAAATCCATCCTTTTCTATTATACTTAGGAAAACATCAACATACTCTAAATCCTTACATAGTCATAGATATGCTTCTTGACTTTCTATTCTGTTCCACCAATCTATCTATTCATGTGCCGATACTAATGTTACTATCTTTTTTTTTTCTGAGATGGAGTCTCTCTCTATTGCCCAGGCTGGAGTGCAATGGCATGATCTCAGCTCACTGCAACCTCTGCCTCCCTGATTCAAGCGATTCTTGTACCTCGGCCTCCCGAGTAGCTAAGATTATAGGCAAGCGCCATCACGCCCAGCTGTTTTTTGTATTTTCAGTAGGGACGGGGGTTTCACCATGTTTCCTAGGGTGGTCTCGAACTCCTGACCTCAGGTGATCCACCTGCCTCAGTCTCTGTGAGCCACCACAACCGGCCTATCTTATCTCATTATATGTGTTAATAACTGATCTGGTAGTCCTTTATTGTCTCTGCTATCAAAGTTTTATTCTCAGCTCTGAGAATTTTTTAGATGAAACTTAAAATCATTTGGTTGAACCAAAAAAATTCTAATAAGATTTTTATGGTAATTAAGTTCACTTACTTATCACTCATCCAAAAATCATTTATTGTGTGTCCTATGTGCTAGGAATTTTTTCACCTAAGTAGTTTTGTTTCTCCATTCACGTAAGTATCTTTTTATGTCCCTGAATAAGGTTTATCATTGTATTCAGATGGGTCCTGCATGTTTCTTATTACATTTATTCCCACATATCATATATATTTTATTGTTCTGTGAATATAATCCATTTCACCACATTTTGTAATGGATTGGTTGTATGTAAGACAGCTATTGATTTTTTTTTTTTTTTTTTTNTTTTTGAGACAAAGTCTCGCTCTTGTCCCCCAGGCTGGAGTACAGTGGAGCCATCTCGGCTCACTGCAACCTCTGCCTCTCGGATTAAAGCAATTCTCCTGCCTCAGCCTCCAGAGTAGCTGGGATTACAGGTGCCTGCCACCACGCCTGGCCAATTTTTGTATTTTTAGTAGAGACAGGGTTTCACCATGTTGACCAGGCTGGTCTCAAACTCCTGACCTCAGGTGCTCTGCCCACCTCGGCCTCTCAAAGTGTTGGGATTACAGGTGTGAGCCACTGTGCCTAGCTCTACTGATTTTTATACATGTATTTTCTTACTACCTTAGTTAACTCTCATTAGTTCTCATTGTTCTTCAGTTTCATTCCAGATAGACAATCATATTATCACTAAATATAGATGATTTTATCTCCTTTACAATATTAACAGCTGAATTATTTTTCTTTTCTCATTGCATTGCCTAGAAATGTTTAAACTATGTTGATTAACAACAATGGGCATTCTTGAGTGTTTCCTGACTTTAATGGGAATGTGGTAGTATTTCATAATTAAGTATAATGTTGGCTGATGGTGTAAGATAGATACCCTTTATTGAATTAAGGATGTATTCCTCTAGTTGTAGTTCACTACAAATTTTCTGTTGCTGTTTTGTTTCATTTTCAATCAGGGATAGAAGTGGGATTCTATAAAATCCTTTTAATATTTACTACCATGATGATATTTCCCCCGCCTATGAATTATTGAATATTTTTATTTAAACTTATATTTATTTCATTTATATAAAAATTATATATTTATTTTATTTATACGTTTATAATGTATATAAAATTATATTATATTTATTTAAATTATTGAATATTATTAATATTTACTGCCATGATGATATTTCCCCCGCCTATGAATTAGCATGGAATCATAAATATATTTGCCAATATTAAAATATTCTTGCATTCCTGAGCAAAATCTGTAAGTGCTAATGTTTTATAGAGGATTCGCGATTCAACATTCCTAAATGAAGTGTGTCTGCAGTTTTCTTTTGTGTGCTACATCTGTAAATTTTGGCATGAGAGTTATACCTGCTTCATAAAATAACCTAGGAAGCTTTCTGTCATTTTTCTCTAGACTAAAACAGATGAAACAATATGGGAATTATTTAATCCATTAAAGGTTTGGGAAAACTCATCTATAAAAAGTCTGAGTCTTTATTTTTTGGAGAGGGGTAGTTCTTTATCTTTTACTTCCTCATGGTCACAGTTAATTTTGTTATTTTTATTTTGCTAGGAAATCATTATTTGCAAAGCAATTATTAGCATGGAATCATAAGACTATTCACTTGTAATATTTACATCTCCTTTATATCAATGATAATATCTTCTTTCATATTTTAATGAGAACAACTTCCATACACATACATTTGAATGTGTACTCTCACATTGAACTCTATTATAAATGTTAAATCAAGCTAAATTATATTATGCAAATTCTCTGTATCTTTATTTTTTTTCCTGCCAAGGACTAAAAGATAAACATTAAAGTATCTCACCATGATTGTGGTTTTGACGATTTCTACTTAAATTTCTAAAACTATTTGTTTCATATATTCCAACACTGCATAAATATTCAATCATGACCATTTTATCTTCACTGTATATTACATCTTGACAATATTAAAAATAATCCATTTTTTCCTGCTTGTTTTCTACTAATGCTTACTCATTAATAATGCCTACTATAGTCTGCGTTTTGAGCATATATCAGTGAAACAGTCAGACAAGATTCCTGCCCTCATGGAGCTTAGAAGGCCGTGGAGAAGACAGACAAAAAAGAAGTCAACTAACAAATTAAATAAATTGCAATGAGTGCTATGAAGAAAGTGGATACTGATACAGAATAAGGGAGGGGGGCTACTTTAAATGGGAGCTGGTCTCTGTGAGGAGATGATATTTAAGCAGAAAAAAAAAAAAAGGAACTATAAGTAGCTGGCTGCACAAAGAGCCTGGGAGAATTATTCCAGCATGAGGACAATAAATTAGATTAACGTTGTCAGGCACACTTTGCCAGATCAGAGAGCCTGTCCTACGTAACATGAGAAGGGAGCTACAGATGGAAGAGAACTTGACAAAACCTTTGTTTTATGTTGCTGTTTGTTTGCTCAGTGCTCCCTTCCTCAATTTGCCATCCTTGTTGCCATTTGATTCAGCACATCACCTGAAGTGCTGGCTGACAGTAGCACACTGAGGCCTGAGTCTCCATTCTAAGTTATATTCAACAAGTTATGTGCTCTCTGGAGTTCCTCCAGAATATTGATCCCCCAGCTCAGAGTCCCCAACTCAGAGTACCCCAGCCTCCAGCCCCTGCCACACAGGCTTGCCCTTGGCTCGACATGAAATGCAAGTTGCTGTGATTTCTCTCTGTCATGTTTTTCTCTTTCATAGAACCCTCCAAGTTTCTGGCATATAGATGCCAGATGGAGCCTTTCTAGGTTCTCCAGGTTTTCACCTTTTATAGATCTTTTGGTCATTGCAATGGGCATTTGAAATGAAAGAGTCAATTAAACATCTTAACTCAGATAAGCAAGATCAGTGGCAGCCTCAACCACAAATCTTGAACATATTTTAATCTGCCCTTCACCTCTGGTTTCTTCCATACTCTAAAAGACAATCATTTTTAAATTAATTTGGGCAGTATTTCTCAAAGTATAGTCTATCGCTAGTAGTACAGAAGAATTTTAGGTGGAGCATAGATGAATATCTATGGATATGTTCATCTTTGCTATGAGTTTATTTGAAAGTGTAGAAGGAAAAAAACATGAGTGACATATCAAACCTACCATGACGCCAAACACGGCCGACATCACTTGCCATGTGGCAAACCTTTATAAACTTTTA